GTATCCATACTATTAACTTATTGAAGGATGATAACAAAAGGTTGGTATCGATACTCCTTCTTGAGTATCAATACTTTTGGTTTGTGTTATCGATACTTCCCTGGGTACTGATACTAAATTTGGCTCCGACGTTTTGAAAAATACCTAAGTATCAATACCCTTATTGGGAGTATCGGTGCTAGAGATGGGCATAGATTGGGTAGGGTCCGGTCAAGTCAGGTTTTCGGCTAACCCTGCCCAACCCAAAATTTTTATACCTCCACCTGAAACTTGACACGACCTTAGTTTAGAGTAATTCCACCCAACTCGAAACCCAACTTGACTTTTGAGATAAAACCTGACCCAATATAATATAAAACTATTTATTTATTTAATAAATAAGGATTTGATTGAAAAATAATATAAAGAGGGGTATTCTTGTAATTATCTCTAAATATATAAGGTATTTTTATATTATTTTTTTGGTCGATTCGGGTTGAACCCAAAACTATTCTCTAAAAAACCCAATCCGAACCCAAATTTTTTAAATAAATCTAACACGATTGGTTCGGATCTTGTTGGAACCCGTCGGCTTCGGGTCCCGTGCCCATCCCTAATCGTACTATTATTGATATTCCCATGAGTATCGGTACCAAAATTATACATTGTAATATGTTAGGTGAACTCAGTATCGATACCACCTTACGAGTATTGATACCTCACCTACAGTACCGATACTCATTTCTTGAATATCGATATTTATAGCCCAAAACCCCTTTGTTTACAACACTTGAAGAACATTTTTTGTATTGTTCTTCCAGTACCGATACAATTATATGTTCTCTATGCTTAAGAATTTTAGGAAACTTTTATGAGAACTCTTGCATTCCTTAGTATGAAATAAATTAATGAGCGTTAATGCTTAATGAAAGCATAAAAGGTTTAACTTAAACTCCCCTATGATTATTGAATTTTTTTATGAATGGTGAATATATATCAATAGCATAAATTATTTAGGGACACTCCTTTCTGCGTTGCTTGCCAAGAAACCCCCTTTGAATAAATGACAACAATTGCACATGAGTGAATAAAAGTCTTCACAGGATGACTCTACTTAAATAGTCTTAAAGATTGGTGTATGCTCCACTTCATCTTCAAGTCTAGGATAATAGGTGTGATAAGTTGAAGACCCAACAAAACAGTGCTAAATTTTGTTAAATTAATGAGAGTAAAAGTGTGCTTAATGGTTAACAAAATGCTAAGTTAGACTAGAGAACTTGCTCAGAAATTTTATAACCCTATTAAACATAGAGATGTAATTACGCTACACATGCAGAGATCCTAGTCTTAGGAAAATTCTTAGAATCTTGATATGTTTAGCATGTTGAAGCCTATTATTATAAGGACTAGAAATTTTTCATAGCTTGTTTTGAGATAAACTATGTCGTAGAATTTGTACTATTGATTATTTCTCATTATTTGAGGATAAACAATAACTTAAGTCTTGGGAGTGTAACCACATAAAAAGGGTATATTTCATACCTTTTTACTTTGGTTATTGTTTGGTGATGTTTTGTGTAGGTCGACAAGGAAGGACGAGAAGTAGTAGATTGTCGTATCCTTACACATGAAGGGAATATTTCCCTAAGGCACACAATAAAGAATTAAGGGAACAAAATCCTAGGAGTCCTTACTATATAATGAAAAGAAAACTCACATTTAAACCAAGTCAGAATTAATGGGATAAGCAAAGAGAAAATATGGCTCTTCTCTCTTTTCTTATATTCTTCTTTGTGGGGACGACCTTCATTTTTGGATGCTTCAAAGGATATCACGCCAACTCTCAAAAGAAGCTTTCAAGGCTTGGATCAGCTCACGGTAACACAAGAGTTCTTCTTACCTTTGTTTTTTTTTATTGTGTTGTTTACCATTTCTCTTAGGATATTTGTTAACTATGGATGTTTCTTTCCTAGCCATTAACTGATTTAACTTGGTTTGAGTTTATTTTGGATGATTACATTTTTGTTTGAATGAATGTCTAAGCATTTTTTTTGTTTAATACATGCTTCGTTCATTGTTTTACTTGTTTAGGTTTGTAAGAGCTCTCAGAAGTTAGTCTTAACCTAGTTACATGCTTAATGATCGGATGAGTTAAAGTTAGATTTACATGAATGATGAGGTTGAGTTGGAAAGCTTAATCATAACTCGCCTTGGAAAGCTTAACCCTAACTCACCTTAGGAATAAGAAAAGAGTTTCAATTACTAAAAAGAGTAGAGTTTAAGGGATAGTAACTTGCTAGGGTTGAGGTAAGAATATATAGTTGTAGCTTTTTATTATCAATCTTTTACTAGGAATAGTGGAGAGGCATAATAGTAACCTCTATCGAGCAATGCATTAATGGAAGTTATTAGGCATCTCTTTAAGAAAAAACATATGATTTCATAGTAAACCTAACCTTTTATTCCTCTTTAAAACTCAATATGTGTGAGGTTTTGTTTTTTTGTCTTGTGAATCCTAGTTCTCATCAATTTTGCCACAACACTTGTTACACTTTAATCACAACATTTTTGTCTCACTCATCACTTTATTATTTGATTGGCATGTATACTTAATAGTTTGCGCATTACATTTACATACACAACAATGGGTTAAAATTTTCAAACATCGAATACAATTTCAGTACCAATATTTAGGGGTAGTATCGATACATCAAGAGGATAGTACCAATACTCTTTATAAGGGTATCAATACTATATTGTTTTTCTAAAACATCGAATGTGAAAATGGTATCGATACCAAGGGTGAGTATCGATACTCAAGGGACAATATTGATACTACAGGGCTTAGTATCGATACTATCAGACTAAGAAATGCAAGAAGTCTTATTTTAGTTTAAGGGCTCATAAAGGTGTCAAGGACCACCAAAACCTCTCAATAAAGCTTACAAGTGAAAATATTGAATAATTATGTTATAAGCATAAGAACAATATGAGGTGAGATGCCATAAAACTTATGCCTTTGTTTGATACTCAGGAAATATTCAAGACACCTGAGTTACTTATGTGTATGTGATGATCATCTTGTTTGATTGATTCATATCTAGATATGTCCAAATTCTTCTAGAGATACTCATGGGGAGTAGACTAGTTGGGTGTACGTTTCTGATGCTAAGTGACTTAGATCTCACCCTAAGTATTAGGTAATGAGGGTCTTTCTAGATGAAGATTTTGATGTATGTGACTCGGATCTTATATAGGTACCTTAGGTAGGCTAAAGGGGTGTGAATCCCGAATGCTAATTGACCCTGCTCTACACCATGATGCCTACCCATGTTTGTATGCTTGATTGTTTTTTGTGTTCATGAATATACATGTTAGTATGCACATATGATGAATGCATGTAGTACAATAAGGTTATTTGTATGACATTGTGCTTGTTAGTTTAACGTTCGATATATATTTTTGTCAGTAGGTTCTTAGGTGGACGGATCGAGGAACTTATCGTCAGATTGTGATTTCAGCTTGGATTGAGCTATTAGAGTACATCTTGGATATTTTAGTGGGCATGCATTATTTATAGACTTAATGTATATTCGAGTCGAAACTCTATTTTGATATATGATAAATATATAATGGATCAAGTTTATGATTACGAGAAGTTGATAGCGAACATCCTCACTAAAAGAGTAACATAAATAATATTATTTTTTTATATTCGATGTTTATAATAATAATTTCTCAAAAAGATATTAATCAGTAGAAAATAATGTATACATCATCGTCCACGCACTGAAAATATTTTTTAAAAATTACTTTTTTAAAAATATAATTTATTTTATGAAAATATTTTTTTAGTTTTTGTTGAAACAAACGGAGACTTCAATTCTTATATTGTTAAAATTAAAAAAATATTACTATTGTTGCAATAACAATAAAAAGGTAATTCAACTATTTAAAGATCCCAACATATGTATTGGGCGAGGCCTAAGGATAGAGAAGAAGCTCAACACTTATCCAAAAGTAAAAAGCCTTCTTCTATTATTTTTTAAAAGATTTATATCACAAATAAGTATTTAGGTTTTTTTTATCAAAATAAGTACATAAAGTTATATTTTATCAAAATAAATATTTAAAGTATTTTATATCAAGATAGGTGTATAAATTATTCAAACTTTTTCATGTAAGTTCTAAAACAATTTACTTATGACATTAATTAAATAATACTTTGAGTACTTAGATTAAAAAATTGACTACTTTTGGTACCTGTTTTAATTAAAAAAAAATATTTTAAATACTTATTTTTACTAAAAAATAACTTTAAGTACTTATTTGATAAAAAAATAATTTAATTACTTAAATGAAAAAAGAACATATTTTAGGTATTTATCTGTTATATAAACCTTTTTAAAAAAGACATCATATGTCTATGTACTTTTAAAAAAAACTCAATATAATTCTCATATTATATTTTATTTAATGAGACCTTCTAAATCATAAAATAAGTTTAATGTGACAATATGATCAACGTTTTTTGTCGTTTACTGTTACAGTACTAACGTGATAGTTCACGGTGCTAACGTGACAATCTACAGTGTTGATGTGATAGTCCACGATGGTTGATAACGTGGTGGATAGCATGACAGATGAACTAAATTGATAACTCAAATATGATAAATAGATTGATACGATAGTACAATAGATTGTTACGTCTTCACAATAAATTGTCACATAAATACAGTATTATCAAATAACGAAAAAAAATTGTCAAATGATAACATTAAATTATTGAAACCCAAATTTAATTAAAAAGAATTATTGTTTTAATGGTGGGAAATGACCATCTAGCTAAGTTGGTAGAGCACAAGGTTCTTAACCTTGAGGTCGTGAGATCGAGTCCCATGGAGGGCATTTCATAATTTGGAGATCTCCTACGAAAGCTGCTGTCAACCTAATGTTAGAGGCAGCTTACTATCTTACCTCCCCTTACCCCATTACATATGGGAACAAGGGACAACCTTATTGTTTTAATTGTGGATGATGGTGCAGATCTTCGAGTACAATGGGAGTGCCCTAGTAGCCATGGTAGGAAAGAACTGCTTCGCCATTGCCAGTGATCGGAGACTCGGAGTTCAACTCCAAACTATCGCCATTGACTTCCAGAGGATTTCTAAAATCCATGATCAGCTCTTTCTCGGTCTCTCTGGCCTCGCCACAAATGCTCAAACCTTGTATTCCCCTCTCCCCCCTTTTACGCTTTCCTTATTTTTCTCTTTTCCCCTTTAAAAAACAACGATATATACTAATATTTGAGGTTTTTCAATAATACTAATTGAAAGGTACCAAAGGCTTGTCTTTCGGCACAAGTTGTATCAGCTAAGAGGAGAAAGGGACATGAAACCTGAGACTTTTGTTAACCTTGTTTCAGCTATTCTTTACAAGAAAAGGTTTGTTTAAATCCCCCCATCACACCTTTGATATTTGGCTAAGTTAGATTTTTCTTCTTTTCAACATTTCAGGTCGTCAGCTTAGTTCTTAAGATTAATGGGAGAAGTGGGAAGATTTAGTTATGTTTTATACAGCCAAATACTTACACTGATTAGCTTGGAATTATAATTAATTTTTAAAAAATGTAACAGGAGAGAAATTGATTAATAAAGAATAACTTGTGAGTTACGACAATAAAAGGAGTTTTTTGTATGATAGAGGTTGCACCCTGGGGATAGAGGATGGATTGCAAATGTCCGGATTTTAACTTTAAACCTATATTTCACCTCTTAATGATGGATGCATGAAGCAATTAGCTAAGCTCCGGGTTTGTTGTATCATAATTTTGAATAATACCAGTTTAGGAGTGAAAAAGTTTACATGTCAAGGAAAAACCTTCTTTATGTCCTTGAAGGGAAATAATCCACTTATCTTGTGATAAGGAACTGAGCATCAAGATATTATTGGCTTGCCTTTTCTTGATGTTTACACTTGAACCTAAGAGATGTACTCTTCTTATACTAATAAACTCTAGCCCTTCCTTTTTGTATGCATTTCGAAACTCACTGATAAATGGTAAATGCATGAATGCAAAAGATTGGTCCATTAGGTGTAGTTAATGATCATTAGACTCGGACAAAAATTGGAATAAAGACGAAACATTGTATAAGACTCTGACGACTCGAAAAAGAAATGGTAGACTGACCGAAAACAAATTTTAGTTGAATGATTTAATCAGTAAATCAATTAATCTCAGAATGCGTAAATTTTGATTAATCTCGTTACAGGTTAAATGTTGGAAATATTTGGATAAGAAAATACATAAAATAGCACTATGGGGTAAAATTATGAAAATGTCCTTGTATTGTAAAAGGACCAAGACATCCCCTAGTAGTGAAAATAACATCCAATGATCAAATGAACAAAGTAATCTAAACTCTAAAGGAACTAGAATACTTTCAAGCCTAAGTTATCCGAAGTAATGCCACTGACATAATTGAATGAAATTACAATACCCTTAAAATGTAAAAAAGGATTATGGATGACTATGATAAGCATACGATATGAGAACTTATATTATGATCAAGTTGAACTGAATAAAAGTAATTTATGTAATTGAATTTGCGGAAATGACTGAATTACTCAGAAAACTGCTAAGCGACCGGGATAAACTTGAATACTAATTGAATTAAGTATCTTAATGAATTATGATTAAGTGCATAACTTGGATAAGTTTGGAAACACTGATGATCTCATATGTTGCACCGTCTATAAGGGTTTTAAACCATGAATCAAGCACGTTGACATTTCCTAATAACATTGCAATGTCGAATTGGAATAAAGACCATTGGAATACATGTTCGTCTCCCTAAGATCCATTCCACGATGATTCTAAAGATGATCAATTCGACAAGAATTGTCAGTATTAAAAATTGATACTCTGAAAGTCCAACGATTTGGACGGTTGTCAGGTATCATTTATGAGACTTGTATAATTTTAGTTAACTCGATTTCTGGTAGATCGACACAAATCGTATATGCCCTGAATCTTTATTTCTCCCTTTTAGCTCAAATCACTAAGAATTATCTAAGAACATAGTGCCCATGCCTCTAATTTCCTGAATAGTGGAATCACTCATGTCATATCTGAAAACACAAGTAACTCAGATGCAAAGGATTCTGAATACCTTTCTGATTACCTAGTGCCTCCAAAAAATGTTTGAATACTATATGATCCTGATAAATCATGTTCTGAATAACTGGTGATTCCGTCAGTTAATGAACCCTTTCGATAGTGATTCTAATTTTCGACATTCTATCAATATACTAAAGATTCGTGTTTCCCTGTCCGATAAGATTATCGAGTACCTCCGAATAATATATGGAACCTCTAGTGTGTTCCCTGATCATACGTATGTTTTCTTTGATTTCTGTTTTGATATCTTCTCTGATTTCTGATATCTCTATTTATTGACTGAAATTATGTTTATACGGGGTACTCTGGGACTATGGTATGACTGAAGACTCTTGTTGAAAACATTTTGATGTTTCGATATAACAAATTAAGTTAAATGAATTTTAAGATTTTTCAAATGATTTTCTAAGTATATTCGATTTAATTACTCGAATATCAAAATATTACTCCAAGTCTTTCAAAGTTCAATTTCAATCCTTACTAATGTGTAAAATTGTGTTTTATACTTAAAATATTTTTGAAACAATTATCACAAAGTATTTCGAACAAAAAACGAGCCAAAAATCAAAATTGAGAAGTGATGCATTGATGCACTCATTGATGCACTCATTGATGCATCGATGGACTCACCATATCGAATGCATTTATTCGATGCCTACCATGCATCGATGCACTACATGCATCGATGCACTCAGGTTTTATGAAAACATCGAATGCATTTTATGCATCGATGCACTCTGGCTTGTTTAAAACATCGAATGCATTTTATGCATCGATGCACTCTTAATGCACCGATGCACTAAAGGTCCAACGGTCCAAATATTTGAATTTTACACATAGTGTATCGATGCACTAGCTTTATGCATCGATGCACCATACGCTCCCACTAATTTTATTAATTGTTTTCACACTTAAACGGCTCCATTGACTCCACTAATCTTCCCAAACGTTCAGAATCAATTGAAGGAGTATTTAAACAAGCTTAGAAGCCATTGATCAACAACAAGAAATAAGAATCAAGAAACAATCAAAGAGAAAGCATCAAACCTCAAGTTTGAGAAATTTCAAGCCAAATTTCATTTAATATTCATCTTTGCTTTCAAGAACACTTATTGTGCTCAATTGTATTATTCTTGAGTGTTCTTTCTTTGTTCTATGATTGTGCAAAAATCTTGCCTTGTGAGGATTTTCTTGTAAGTTTGTAAAATTTGTATTGTTCTCTTTGGGATAGAGTGTTCTCAAGAATTTGGGGTATAATTCTTTAGGGATTTGTAAGGTTACTCTTTGTCCTCAAAAGAAGAACAAATTAGTGAATTTGATGGAAATCCTTAGTGTGGATAGCTAAGGTAGTGTACGTAGACTTTGGTTGAGAAAGTCGAACCACTCTAAATCGTTGTGCAATTACTTTCAATTTTCTGCAAACGTTTCCACCAAATTTTTAATTACCAATTCACCCCCATCTTGATCGATTCCGTCAATCGATTAACTCAACAATTGGTACCAGAGTCTCACTCATTTGAAGGTTTAATCGCCTCTTGAGTCAATTCGGGAAGAGTTACATCGATAATCAAGTCATCAATAGCCTCTACTTCAAACTCCGACTTTAGTCTTGATTCATTGTCTGTCAACAAGCCTCCTTTCTTCAATGGAGCTAATTATGCTTATTGGAAGAATATGATGATGTATTTCATTCAAGCAAGTGACATGGGAGCATGGAATATTATAGAAGACAGATACATCAAACCCTCTACTCATCCAAGATTGTGGAGTGAATGAGAGACAAGAATGTTCCACCTCAACTCCAAAGCTATCCATATTATCTTTTGTGCTCTTGGACGCTATAAAATTTCAGGATGAAACCAGATGAAGATGTCAAAGCTGTAATGGATAGATTCTCCACGATTGTCAATAGTCTCAAGTCATATGGAGAAATCATTCCAAATGACAAGCTTGAAAGGAAGTTAGTTTACTCTCTTCCAAAAGCTTGGCAATCAAAGAAGAAGACAATCATAAAGGCTAAGAACGTAAAATCTTTAACTCTCGATGAGATTATTGGCTCTCTCCTCACACATGAAATGATGCTTAAAGAAGAGGAAGACCTTGAGAAAAGAGACAAGCCAAAGAAAGAGACGGAAAGAAGAGAACGAGGAGTTTCTCTTAAATCAACAAAAGATGAGAGTGATTCGGATAAAATGATGATGATGAGGAGGAGATGGCATTCTTTGTCAAATGGTTCAGAAGAATGATGAGGCCAAATCAAGGAAGAAAATTCAAACGAAATGAAGGCTTCAAAAATGAACCAAAAGAGAAGGACCCATTTGCTACGAATGCAAGAAACCGGGACATGTCAATATGATTTCCCACAATTGAAGAGAAATGTTCAATCAAAGAATAAGCACAAGGCTCACATGGCTACATGGAGTGATGAAGAATGTTCCGATGAAGAGGAACAAGAAGTAGCAAACTTGTGCTTGATGGTATTGGGGGAAGATTCTAAGGTAACCTCTAACTCATTTGATTTAGATGATTTATCTTATGATGAGTTATTAGAGGAGTATAATGGGTTGGCTTCGGATTATGAGAAATTGTTTTTAAAACAAAAATGATATTTCAAAATTGAAAATTGAAAAATAAAAATAATCTCATATCCAAGACCAACAATAATCTTGAAAGTAAAATCAAAGATTTACAAATCAAACTAGAAGAGTTTGAAAAGAAAATTTCTTATTTGCAAAATTTACTTTCAAGAGTCAATGATGATCATCAAAAGGAAATTGATGATATTAAAGCTTCTTTTGATAAGTGGATCAAAACGTTTTGAAAAACGAGAAAATTCAAAAACCAACTTTGTTAGAAAAAGTTTTAGAAATTATAATCATAGAGGTCCCATAATGGAAAAATCGTTAGAAGTATATGAGTTCCTAAAGAACTCATTACTAGTAAAGATAAGGATATCCTATACAAATGGATACCTAAGGGGACTAGGATTTTGGAAACTAATGAATATGGGCCCAAAAGAATTTGGGTACCAAAAAATCAAAAATTAATCTATGTTTGTAAGAAAATGAGCTTTGCTACAAGGCACGAGAAACAAATTCAAACTCATGGTACCTTGATAGTGGATGCTCAAGACATATGACCGGTGACAAAAGTCGGTTCATAGAGCTCAACGCCAAAAATGTAGGAGATGTGACTTTTGGTGATAACTCAAAAGGTCACATTGAAGGTATAGGCACTATAGGTAATACCTCTTCCATACAAATTAAGAATGTTTTATATGTGAATGGAT